GTGTTCCACGTTAAAATTCATATCCATGTTCTTTCGGACCCCGACGACTCCTGGCGCAGACCCGCAGCGACCTAGCGACCGACTTCGCCTGCTGAGTGGGGCGGCAGCTGACATAGCGCTCCAGGACCTGCCAGAGCGCTTTGGCCGAGGGCGCTTGCTTGCGGCCGCCGGGTCAACGGGCGACAGGCTGGAGATGGGTTGAACCAAAGGACTCAAAAGGGGACTCAAAGGAAACGCAAAGGAAACACCAAGGAAACCCAAAGGAACCCCAAGGAAACACAAAGAAAGCCCAGTATTCGTGGAACTGCGACGCAAAGGAAACGCAAAGGAAACACAAAGGAAACACCAAGGAAACACCAAGGAAACCCAAAGGAACCCCAAGGAAACACAAAGAACGCCCAGTATTCGTGGAACTGCGACGCAAAGGAAACGCAAAGGAAACACAAAGGAAACACCAAGGAAACCCAAAGGAACCCCAAGGAAACACAAAGAACGCCCAGTATTCGTGGAACAGCGACTCAAAGGAAACGCAAAGCAAAGGAAACGCAAAGGAAACACAAAGGAAACACAAAGGAAATCCAGTAATTCGTAGCAGTCCGCATTCTCGAGAAGGTCAGTGGGCGTCTGCAAAGGCACAAAGAGCTATTGCGCAGTGCCGAGATCGGGCTTGGGTCCTGAAAAGTACTTGTGAGGCTCCACAAACCAGACTAGGCGCAACTCGGATATATCAACCCGGCAGCTTAATAGGAATCATCAACCAGGGATTGATTTGGATTTGTCTAGCAACATGGTTAGCAAGCCTGTGGATTCCTACCTGACGAGTTTCTGGTGTTTTACAACCGTTCCCTAGCATGTTTGAGGCCTTACCAGTAAACCCACATAAAACTGCAAATATACGAACCCACCAGTCACCACCCGTAAACCAGTAAACCCCCCACCCAGTAAACCACCAAACCCCCCGTAAACCCACAGACCACCAGTAAACCCCCAGCAAACCACCAGCAAACCACCAGTAAACCCCCAGTAAACCAGTAAACCCCCAGTACACCCCCAGTTAACCCCCAGTAAACCCCCAGTAAACCCCCAGTAAACCATCAGTAAACCACCACTAAACCCCCAGACCACCAGAAAACCCCCCCCACCCCCCCAGTCTGCTGGGCTCCGCCGTAGTGCGCCTTCCTGGCCTTGTCCAGCTCCCCACACCTGCGCCCGAAAAGAGACGAAAGAACTTCAAGCTTCACCACAAAAGTCGGAGAAAAAAAAGAAGAAGAAAAAAAACATCCACTTGAACTGTTCACCACAATTGTTCTAGGGGTTGATTCCTTCTCCATTCTTTTCAGCCATGGTTCTTTTCAAAAACCGATCGCTGTTTCCCTTGAAATTCTCAGGGCTTCCTGAAAAGAAGGATTTCTGGAAAGCATGGGGAAGTGTCCCCTAGAAAAGTCGGGAAAAAAAAGAACATCCACTTGAATTGCTCGCCACAAAAGTCGGATAAGATCCATGAGCGTTTCGGCCCTTTGGAAAACCCGGGAAATCTGTGCCATTGGACAGGCCAATGGACAGCGAAACTCGGGCCGCGACAAGGGCCGACAGCCAAAAGCACCTTCTTCTCTCACCTCATGAGTGCATTGGCCAAAAAAGTCTGAACTTCTTGTTTACCACCAACATGACCCAGGCCCAAAAAGTGACTAAATTTCATGAACCCCATAAACCATTTCTCCATTTGCCGACTCTCGCTCCCATCCCATCCGCCTCTCTTCGAACTTCACGTACTGCAGCCAAGGGTTGTCTTCGGGCCTCCGCACCGGAGAGGCCCAAGGGGGTTGCATCTGCCACTTGCCAGGGGAAAAGCACTCACCTGAAGCTTGAGGTCTTTGGGGAGGTCTTCCGGTCTGTGTTTCCTTTCCGTACCCTCCCCAATTCGCGCCGAACCATGCGCTTGAGAACGTGTCACTCGGTGTGTCCTTGGGGCTCTCCTTTCTTTGGTCCAAGACCGGAGCCCGCAAAGAGCCCGCGAAAAGCGAAGCGTTGGCACACCTGGACAACGCAGTAGTGGATCCTGTGACTTCCTGGGGCCGTGTGCATTAGTTTATACATGTGTATAATATATATATATATATATATATATATGCATGACATACGCGTATGCTACAAAGGACCCAAAGGATTAGGTGCGGTGTATGTATTCATATGGATACATCGCTCCCTGTATATATATATATATATGTATATATATATATATATATGTACTATACACACAGGGCTGTATCTTACCGGCATACGCCCACAGTCGCTGCTAGCAGCCCTCAGATCCCCTGCGAAAAGTGCTGAACTTGCCAAGGGAAAACAACAAAAAAAACTGAGGAAACGGAGGAGCCACTAAGAAAATGATCCAATCAACATGATGCTCAACTAATTTCTGTCCTAGTTCCATGGCACAGGAGTCCAAACACATCAAGCTGGAACCTGGCTGCGTTGAATCCAAGCGTTCCCAACAAAAATACACCCATGAACCCGCCGGCGCGTAAAGCTTCCTCGCCCTTGCCCGGGTGCGGCACTCCCACTCCATCCACCTCTCATAGATGGTGCGCGCCCTGGCACGTGGCTTGGTGCCGGGTCGCGAGCTTCGTAAGGGTTCCTGATGCATGTTGAACCCCCCAGGTGAGGGGTTGCGTCATAAACCTTTTCGAGATGTGCCCATATCTCACCAACCAGAAAAACATATATATATATATAGTTATTTATATTTTTATTTAAAAACAAATGGCTCGGAGGTCCATTTCCCATGGAACTCGAACTCCCAAGCCCCATACCCCAAAGCCAGCTGTCGTGGAGCCTTTCCGGGGGTCCCTGCGGCCAGGCGCGCCTGCGCCAAATTTGATCCTTGGTAGCCTTCACTCACTTGGCCAGTGACCAGCCAAAAAAAACACACACACTTTTTGGGCCAAGAGCCTGAAAATCCAGTGCCAAAAATACTTGGGCCTAAAAGTGCCAGGCAGAGGCTTTTTTGGGCCTAAAATAAAGGGAGAGCCACCAAGGGAAAAAGTGTCAAGTGTCAACCCGCTCGCTTGGTGAGTTCATGTGAAAACATGAAAACATGAAACCAGCCAGGCCATCCGTAGGGCGCCGGGTTGTCGTGCTTCTTTCTGGAGGGCACTGAGCAACAAACCCATGAACCCCTTCGTGAACCACGGTCAAAACAAAAGGATGCTAATCCTACTGATATGGGAAAATCAGTGTCCCCCTGATTGTGGGGATTAATTTCAAGAGTCTCTCATGTCCCTCCCAAACTGACCATAGCCGGAAATGCTGACCAAACTCCGGTATTTTTCTAAAAATACCGACCCTTTGGTGGACATCATGAAGATTGCTGTCCACCCACCGAGGTGATTCCTCGTTTCAAAATCATGTGGGTATGTGTGCAAATAGCGGAACCAACAAAAATTGTAGTTGCCTTTTGCTTTCCCTTCGGACCAACCCCCGAAACCGGGGGCAACGACCCTCAAAACGCACCCGGCCATACTGTGCTTCAGGCAACAAATGGCCATGGGTCAAAACCCCGTACCCCCAGCCCAGTGAACATCCCAATCCCCACTAAAATAGACTAAAATGGGGACCCCAAAATGGGATCCCATTGGTTTTGACCCACAAATAAGACAAACGTCGGAGGTGCCCAGCATAGTTGGCCAGCAGCTCCTCCATGTAGGCGTACTTGTACCAGAACTGGTCCACCCTGGTGTTGTAAATCGGGGGGTGAGTCCTGAAATACTTACTCCCCTACATGAAACCAAAAAAGGGGGTCCAATTTTGAAAGGAGTTTCCTCTGCAACTTGTCGTTTTTGGGGTTCGATGTTGCTCCGTAGAGGACCCCCCTTCCTGGCCATCCACTTCGCACCAGTTGGTAGGTGGTTTGCGTCAAGCAAAAAAGCAGACCGCTTGCGGGGCCAATGTGAAGCAAACAGAATAAATCTGACGGAGGCTCCCTTCCAAAGAAAAAAATGATCTTCCAGGAGCCTCCACACAGGTTGCATCTTTGTTTGTGGGGAGGATAAAAAGGGTCGGCATTTGGGACTCCTTGGAACCGCTCGTTTTTTCGCCGTCAAAGGGGCTATCCAAGAATGGCGCAACTTGCGTCAGCCCGGCATCTGCATTTCCCATGGTCTTGACCTAGGTGAAACACGATCCCTTTTCCGTGGCAACCACCACCACTCTCCACATGCTCAGCTGATCGATCCCCTCGGTACCAGAAAATGGCAGGCAGGTGATTCGTGCGAATGGTGTGTCGAACAAAAACATGGGAGACCTCCCTCAAAGGACATTGAAAGGGAAACTCAAAGGAAACCAGCAATTGAGATGGGGTCTGGTTTTGGAAACAACCAAGCACAAATCAAAGACCCCCCTTAAGAAAACTCATGCAACCACACACACACGCGCGCACACACACACACACAGAGACACACACACACACACACCCACGCACGCACGCACGCACGCACGCACGCACGCACGCACGCACGCCAGGCCTGGGGAGCAGTTGCACCACCTGGCACGGTGGCAACTGCTAACTGCACCTCGATGCCCAAATTGACAGAACGTGAGAAACCGAACTGCTTGGTTGCTGTTGACCCCCTGCAAAAAGTTTAACTTTTTGGGGCTTAGTGGAAAAGCCCTTGATTTCCCAAGAAGTTAAAGTCTACAGATCCAACCCAATAGCAGTCAAGATTGGAGGCGGTTCGTTCTGGGGCCATGTGTGTTCACGCAAGAACCCACCAGGCGTCTCTGGTTGCACTGAGCGAGTCTGCAAAGCAAGAACGACACCAGGCAAAGCGGGGAACAGGATGCCGCTGAGGCAAACTCGGAGCCCCTTAAGAGAGCGGCAAGAATGACGCGTATCAACTCAAAGAGGGAAAAACTGGGTGCTGGTGAACTAGACAGCCAGCCAAGAATGGCGAGGTCCAGTCTTTGGCAATTCTCAGCTCCCCCATCGAAAACAAAGTCGACCTTGGGCGCTCGCCCGGGCCTCGAACAATTGAGGCTTTGATCCATTCAGATAACGCCAGTTTGGGAGGGAACGGCAAAACTGTCCACACAGAAAGCCAAGTTGGTCAAAAACTTGGGGCCCGAAATGGAACCCTTGTAAATGGACAAGTAGACTAAAACTTGCGGTGTTTTGGCTCTTAATTTTGCAGCCACGCCCACTCCGCAAATCGACCTCGAGTTCGTTCGCCAGCTTGTAGCTCATAGGCAAGTGTGCCATCCATGCTTGGGGGCTTTCCAACAAAACCTATTGGCTTTACATTTGGTTGTGTTTCCTTTACAAATATATATATATATACCTATATATATATACAGTAATGTTCAACAATCGAGCCCAATGCCGGGCTGAGAACAAGTACCTGCCATCCATCTCACCAATTCCATTGAGCAGAAAGTAATTATTGGACTCAAGGCCTTGGATCTGCTGCTTCCGGAAGCCCTTGGATTCACAAACCTGGATGAACAGGGAGAAGATAGAAGGAACAAAAAGATACGAGATGAGGTCATGGAGCGGCAAAAGGGACTATGGGGAAAAAAAAAGGAATAAAAAAGATAAGAGGGGGATGTCCTCTGGCCGCAGTGGTCCTTCACTTTGGGGCGTACCTAACAAAGATCCCCCTTGAGCGGAGACCAATGCTCGACTGCAACTCGCTCAGCTCGTACTCGAAAACGGGGCCGGGCGGGCCCGGTCAAAGAGGTTCCGGGCATGGTTCACGAATTTGTTCTTCATCTCCATCTCCAAGTACTTCAACCAGAGGCTGACATTCTGGTACCTGAAGACCAGAATGAAGGTTCAACGACCAAAGCGTCGGATGGGGAAACGGAACATAGCCATGGCCAGCTCCAAATGCATCTTGCCTATTTTTTTTCGAAGGGCACCTTTTCCCCGGTTGCCCCTTTGGAAGCGCTCCACCCGCCTTTCGAGCCCCGAAAAGGTGGACCAACAGGTGAGATGCAACGCCCCCTTGGCGACACTCGGCCGCCACGGGGTCAATGGATCTGCCCAGCGAGACCTCCCCTCTTTTGTTAGACGCTTTTCAGAGTGGTTATCAAGATCTAGATGCCAGGATTTGCTGTTTAACCCGTGGAACAAGAGTCCCTCCAAGAGGCAGCTATGACCCCGCATGCCTGGAAGGAAGACTCCTAAGACCAAAGCTTCATCCATGCGGATGATTGCCACAAAAGCTACGAAGTTCTCATGCTGGAGGCCCCTTCTTGCTTCAGCTGAAGGCCCAGAAAGATGATGGATTCCTCATATTTGGGTCTGTCACTTCTTGATTCCTCACATTCAGTGAACCTTCAAATGCAAAGTGCAAGAGATGCCACCAGCCGTGTGCAACGTGGGCTGTTCACGAATCCAGTTCTCCCTAGCTCGCGCACTCCACGTGCAGCGCGCGCTCGAAGATGGAGCGGGACCGGCGGTACTCCTGAGAGAGAGAGAGAGAGAGAGAGAGAGGGAGAGAGAGAGAGAGAGAGAGCCGCGTCAATGCGCGGGTTGGCTTGGGAGATGTGTTCTCATTTAAGCCCTCAACAGAACACCTCACCTCAAAGCACAAAGAGAAAACTGGGTGATCCCATCTCACGACCAGAAGTCTACTGGAAACCCCGGCTGAAACCTTCCACTCGCTCGCTCAACGGTCGGAAGCCCAAAACCCGGCCGAACACCGAAGACCCCAGCGCTGGCCCTCCTGCTGCGAGGCCTCCCATTGCGCGTACTTCACCTCGGTCGTTCGCGCTTGTCAGAAGGCTCGTGGTGTGGAGCCCGGGTGGAGCCGCGGACCCGGCCGGACAAAAAGGCCTCCGACTGGTGCCTCGAAAACATGCCGCAAGCCTTTTTTTGTTTGCAGAAAACCCGAGACCAAAACGCAACCAGGCAGGCAAGCCGACAGGGACCAGTCAAAGGGCAACATGAGTTGTGACTGCCCAAAACAACCGCCGAACAGGCGCCTGACCAGGTGTCAGCCCATCTATTACCACCCGCCTTACCTGACCCGAAGCCCATTCCAAGGGCAAAAAGAAAAGGGGTCCCTGAGAAACGGGGAGAATGGGCCGGCTGGAGCGGCAAGACTTGTCTGGGGCCCAGGCCCAGGAGCCGATGTTCTGGCGCTGCCGCCGGATGATGTCCTCATACTCCTTCCTCTTCCGTACTTTGTACATCTCGGCGCGATCGGATGGCGCACAAGAAACGCAAAGCGCGGCCGGGATCGGAGGGAGAAAAAAGAAAGCAGCGCGGTGTCTGCAGCTCTGTACTCATTTGACCAGTTTCCAGGAATCGGCCCCCAGCTCCTTAGGTCAGTGATTCCTCCCTTGTTTGAGCTGCATCAAGCTCGTCCAAGCCTTCACCAAACCATGTGCCAAACCATCGCTATAGCGGGAACCCAAGACCCTTCACCAACCCCTTTTCTCCAAACCCAAGCGGGCCTTCCCGGCATTCTCAGGGACTTGTGGGGTACTTTCAAAACCGTTATGTAACATTCCGCTCCAAGGCCCCCCCCCAAAAAAAAGGAGAAAAAGCGAATGAAAGTAAAACAGAGCAAAAGAAAGGAGATAAACGACAGAGTCAAAAAAAAGGACCAAAAAAAGAACGACAAAGCAAGAACAAAACAACCATGCAAAAAAAAGACCCAACACCCAAAAAAAAAACACAAAAACACAAAACAAATAATCAAAAAGAAAAAACAAGCACCGAGTCCCCGGGCCATCAGCTCATCCTCGTCCGCGATGCGCTGCCTGGGCGCCACCGCCTCCGCCGCCTGGCGGTCCACCGCCTGGCGACGCGCGAGGAAGTCGGCGGCCGCTTGTGGCGTTCCAAAGGGGAAAAAAAAGTGGCCATGGGTCAAAACCCAAATCGTACCCCTGGCATGCTGATTCCCCTGTAAAGACCAACAAACGGTATGGTTTCAACCATGGTCTCGAAGAGGTGCAAAATGGATCTGGCCACGGGTCAAAATCCAAATCGTACCCCCAGTGAACATCTCAATCCCCGCTAAAATAGGTTCTAAAATGGGTGGTGCACCGAAAACCCCAAAATGGTACCGTTGGTTTTGACCCACAGCCAAGTCGAGGGGGTGGGTGGGTGGGGGGCGGGGGGGGCGGGGGGGAGTGGAGGAGGTGGGGGGAGGAGGTGGGGGAGGAGGTGGGGGAGGAGGTGGGGGAGGAGGTGGGGGAGGAGGTGGGGGAGGAGGTGGGGGAGGAGGTGGGGGAGGAGGTGGGGGAGGAGGTGAGGGAGGAGGGGGAGGTGGAGGTTGGGGAGGAGGTGGGGGAGGAGGTGGGGGAGGAGGTGGGGGAGGAGGTGGGGGAGGAGGTGGGGGAGGAGGTGGGGGAGGAGGTGGGGGAGGAGGTGGGGGAGGAGGTGGGGGAGGAGGTGGGGGAGGAGGTGGGGAGGTGAGGGAGGAGGGGGAGGTGGAGGTTGGGGGGGGGGGGGGGGAAGGCGTGGGAAAGGGGAAAAAGACCAAAAGGGAAGAGCTTCATCCTTTCCTGGTCAACATTTCCGGTTCATGATTGACTTGCCAAGAAAGATACGCGCTCATGTTCTGTGCACAAGCCAGGGAGACCGATGAGGTTGACCCGTCAAAAGAGGAACCAAGACATGTTCGCCGCGGCTCACATGGATCCGCGCCGATGAAGTTCCACTTGGAGCGTTCCCAGCTCCCACCAGAAGGATAAGCTCAGCTTTCCAGCTGCGACCTCCTCGCTCCTCCCTCGAGCCATTGGGTTTGTATCAAAACTGGCTTCCCTTTCTTTGGCTCCCCTTGACCAACCCCAAATCAAAACGAGCCCTAAGATACAGCCACAGAAAATCCTCCGGCCCATCTCTCCTCCCGGAGAAGCTGCTCCGCAGTGATCTGGTTCGGGTTGGCGCTCTTGTTCCGCACCTGGGCCTGAGCGGGCGCATCGATGCATGGACACCGGATTGTGTGCCCCCAAGTCGCATCGAAGTGTACAGCAAGGAGCTTGAGGTTGGCTTAGTAGAAAGTCTGCGCCGTTCGAGGCAAAAGCACCTGTTACATCCAATTTCGTGGAATACGCTCTACACGCCCCTGTGTCCAACCACCAAACTTGCTCTCATGCGGGGTGAGAACACTGCATCCCGAAAAGGTGCACTACACATCTGACGCCAAGTCAAGGGCCGCACCACGGGTTTATCATTGTGGGTGTCATTGGCACCTGAGTCCCTCGTGCGGATCCAGGAAACCTGTAAACAAACCAGAACAACACAAGCAATAAACATCAAACCTCAACCGACCGACCAACCGACCAACCAACCAAGCAAGCAAGGCAAGCAAGCAAGCAAGCAAGCAAGCAAGCAAGCAACCAACCAACCAACCAACCACCAAAAATGAACATCGAAGATGACCAAGGAGGTATCTCCACGACTGCGGCTCGAGAGAGAGAGAGACACACACATACATAAGTTTGTCTCTAAATTTATAGAGGTCCACAGAAAGCCTTGACCACAGAAAGCCAGGACAGTTTACTTTTCAACGCCAAGTTACAGGGGGCTCCGTTCCCCCAAAAAGGACACACCCATACACATCTGTGTAACTTCACTTATAAACTGGCTGGTGATCTAAATTCCTCCTTCTGCAAAGATGATGACCACAGAACAAGACGCAAAGGCCCATAAGAAGGACACGGTTGAAGCTAGACTGCGTGTAACACACAACTCCCATGAAGTCCCGAAAACAAAGCATCTCCGGCTGACCGGACCTTTCTCAGAGTCACCCCCTCCCCCTGTCGGTGTCTCATGGCAATAAACCTTGTGGATTGTTTGGGAGGTGCTTCCCCAAAAGTGAGGGATCCCCGCTAAAGGAGACATCTCAATTAATAAGTTTCAGTCTTTTGACTTGTAGCTCCTACCGAGTGGGACTATTCCCTCTTCCAAGAGAGCCTTGGCAACCGAAGGTCATTTTGACAGGTCGATTTGGGGCGGCTCCCTCTTAAGTGTGTCTTTGTTTTGAGGGTATTTGGTGCCTTTTTTGTTTAAGGGAAGTCTTTGTTTTGAGGGTAGCCCCTGGTTGGTGTTTTTTTGTTTAAGGGAAGCAATAAAAGCCCTTGCGCCATTTTCGGTCTCAACGATTCCGAGACCACGGTCTGGCACAGACTTCTGGATTGGTTTGGCTTGCGGTGGACAACCCCACGTGTCTAGAACAAAAAACCCGCAATCCAACTAAACCAAGGGTTATTTGAGAACCATGGGTTCAAAAAATAAAGGCGTGCCACGACCTGAGAACCACGTCGCAAAAAAACAACAGAAAAACGGCGCTGCTTCTCGTCTGTCCCTCGCTCGCTCTTTGGGGTTCCGGGCGTGCTTGCCCATGCCAGTGCTGCCTCCCTGCTTCGGCGGCATGGCTGATCTTTGGGGCGTCTGGCAGCGCAGAGAGAAAAATGAGCCGTCCGTTTTCAGAACGGTGCCCCCGCAAAAAAGTGACGAAGGTTTAGTGGGTCTTTTCGGAAACCCAACCACTAAACTCTAAAAAGAGCTACAAATCGATTGAACCGGACGGCTGGGAGGCACACAACGAAAACAACCTTTCGATTTCCAAGCATTGAGGGTTGTTCTTCCGTTAGGGTGCAATTAGATGGCACGATCCCCCACACACACTCACACACTCACGCACTCAGTATGTAATGAGTTGTTATAGCAATCCTGAGTATCCAAGTAAATTTGGACTGCCATATATATGTATATATTTACATATATATATATATACATATGTAAATATATCTAGACGTGTGTGTATATATATATGTATATATATATATATACATATATATATATATATATTGGTTTTGCCATCCCCCTTAACCCACACAAGGAGTTGCGCGATCCAAAGTCACAGCACGTGCCTTAGGCTGCCCAAGCAGCTCAGAAACCAAGGGAACCAGCCGAAAACCCGAAAACCCGGACTCGTACAGTACGGCGTGACCACAGCAACTGAAAAAAAAAGAGTCGACCTTGTTTTCTTTGAGGACCATACCAACAAACCGGTAGGATGGTTGCGGCCCCCCATTCCAGTTCACCTTTTGGCTATGGTTTCCACCAAAAAATAGGTACCCTCTTTCCAAGAATCATGGAAGTGCACAAAAGGGGTTCCCCAAAAGGCAAGTATTCTTCCAAAACGCTCTTGTGAGCTTCCATGATTGTTGGAGGGCGGCTATTTTTAGAATGGACCAAACAAAATGCTCCTTCCAACAATCATGGGAACTGCACATTTTCGGGTTCCCCAAGCGGAAAAAAGTCGTCGTCCAAAGCTCTCCATGATTGTCCACTTCCATTGTTGGAGGGAGATCAAGTCCCAAAAACCCCAGTGAACATTTCTCGGAGTTCAGCTGTTGGAAGCGCCCTGAGGTCGTGGATACCATCATATATGCTTGTGGTCAGCCCAGCGCGCCTTAGGGGGACAAAAAAGAGGGGTCAGTTTAAAGGGATTGGCATTCCAAGAAAGTGACAGTGACCTTGGACTGTCAGAGTTGGTCCTGCAGTTCAAAGGTCTTCTGACCGGTGCCTGGACCGGTGCTATACCACTTTGGGGAGTGTGGCATCTTCGGATCGGATACGGCGTCGCTGTTGCTCCAAGGAGCCCCCAAAACCCGTCAAATCTGATGAGAAAGTCACCTGAGTTCTGCTGATCCTTCAGCCGCGAGTGCTTCCACTTCATAAACCCGGAGAAGCAAACTTCAGCTGCGTCCGAATCGCCTAGGAAAGCGGGCGATGGATCCCTCGGGCGGAGGTTCCAATATGCCTCGCAAACAACCAGCAGAAAATAGGTTTCCTCCCCGAGGGCACAAAAGTTGTTCAGGGATGGTTCGAGGACCACTGACGTCGAAGACCATTCACCTCGCTCAGAGCCAAAGCAAAAACACAAGCCATGGCACCTCTGGTATCAATCTGAATTGGAGACTCTTTTGGCAGTTGTTGAGGGCATTGAGACCACTTGGCAATCGAGCGCGTCCCCCTCCCTCTGGAATGCGGAACTGGATGTGCCTCGCAAAAAGGCAGCCCAGCACGTGCTCAAAACGGCTCCAGACGGGCGGAGGGTAGGCAAAACTCTGGGGGGACCTACTGTCGGTGTGTGTCTGACGATTCTTCGGCTGGATGCTGTTCTTTTGTTCATTCACGTGCTTAGTTTGCAGGACGAACTGGTGGCCAGCGGGTAAGTCCGCAAGGCACAGGCAGGGAAAAACTGCATGCAAGAGCAAATGATAAAGCCTTTGCCCTATACAGCTTGCCTCTTGATAGACGCATATCTATATCCATATATCTGCCAAATACAGACATAACCCCCCCCTCCCAAGGGCTACTGCTGCATGGGGCTTCTCTACAGCCTGAGCCTGGAATCGAGCATCGAGCAACGGCAAGCACGGTGAGATGCCTCATTTCGCTGCAGGTTCAAGCAAAAGGTTAGCCATCCCGATCGCCCGACCGACTGACCCGCCCACCCACCAACCCACCAACCCGCCAACCCACCAACCCACCAACCCACCAACCCACCAACCCACCAACCCACCAACCCACCAACCCACCAACCCACCAACCCACCAACCCCAACCAACCAACCAACCAACCAACCAACCAAGCAACCAACCAACCAACCAACCAACCAACCAACCAACCAACCAACCAACCAACCAACCAACCAACCAACCAACCAACCAACCAACCAACCACCAACCGACCAACCAACACACTGGGCCGAACTACACCATGCCTGACCAAAAACAACCAAGCAGGCCAAACAAAAAGACCAGTGGCTAAGCAAACAAAACAAGCTTGCTCGGCTAAACGCGTGTTGAGTTCGAGGCTGCATACTTTGCTCAGACCGTGCAGCAAGAGCCCCTGGCTTTGCAAGCGTGCCCCATGTCATATCCTCTACCAGTAGAGCCAGCATAGCCGGTTGGCTGAAGTTACGCAAAAGTAAGAACTATCAATTAGAACACGCCTTTTCTCCCTTGTCTCTCTCTCTCTCTCTCTTTTCCTCCTTCTCTCTTTAACTTCCTCTTTTTTTCCTCCTTCTCACTTTCTCTTTCTCTCCTTCTCTCCCTCTCTTCTTCTCTCTTTCTTTGTCTCGCTCTCACTCTCTCTCTCTCTCTCTCTCTTTCTGTGTGGCCCCTGTGACGAAATCTGCCCTGGCCTTGCGAAAACGCCGCACCTGCCACGATATCCGCACGTAACTCGTAACGCTGCGAGCGTCCCTGCCAAACCTCGCGCTCCAGCGCCAAAGTGCTGCGCCTGTCAGGCAACGTGTAGCTGCGTGGCGCCTGTGACAGATGACAGACCGTTCCTCACGTGCATCTGCAGCAATCATCCACGGATCTCTTCCCACAAATGGATGAGCAGACACCCTCTAATGACATGGCGAAGCAAGGAGCTTTGTTTCTTGCAAAGGCATGATGGACACATGTGCTCTTATGTATCTTGCTCTGTATGTGCTTCTTACTCTGCGTGCACCATTGCGCAACTTGCTCTGCATGTGCTCGTGTGCATCTTGCTTTTGCAAGCATCGGAAGAGCCTTCGCGATGCGCCCCCTGAAAACCCCACTTGAGCGCCCTTAAGAGGGTCAAGCACGACCCATGGGTCAAGATCCCGTACCCCCAGTGAACATCCCAATCCCCACGAAAATATAGCCTCTAAAATGGGTGGTGCACTGAAAACCCCAAAATGGGATCCCAATACGGTTTTGACAACCACAGCCATTTGGAGCCCATGGGTCACACGAGTCCCGCGCTTTTCTCAGCGGCTGAGGGACGCCAGCGCTTTGGCGCGAAAGGCTGCCGGCAGCGCGCTGGCTGCGCTCAGCGTCGCCAGGTCAGGCACCGCGTGCCCCGCGGGCGCCGCGGGCGCCGGCGCCTTTGGGTTGGCTGGCAGAACTGGAAAGAGCCAAAGCGATGACTACCCTCCCTTCCACTAACATAGCACTTATGGGAGGGCACCCTCTTCTAGGGAGCCCCTGTCAGGTGCCATGTTGGTGGGAGTGAGGGTAACATGTTGCCACGATCATGATCCAATTTGGAGATAAAGAACCTCACAAATCGCAACCCCATTCTCATGATTAGACCCGAGAAAAACTCATGCCGCCAACGACTCCCCAGTTGTCACAACCCCGCCTGCGCGTGAGGCTCTGGCGCTGCAACGGGCGCCGTTTTCCGGGGAGGCGGCGGGGCATTGGCGTAGACGCTGGCCTAATGAAACTCCCAGCAACCAGTTGAGAGGCTGGGATTTGGTGTTGATTCTCTTTGGTCCCTTGAGGTTTAAGAACCAGGGTCAGGCGCCTGAGTTCCATCCGTAGAGCTGCCAGGAAACCAATAACATAATAAATCCGCGAAGTATCCAAGCACCACATGCTGCAGGCTTGGGCGTCTGCGTTCATTGGCTTGTCGTGCGCTCCTCGTTCTTTGGAAGGCATGAGTTGAAGAGATCCGCAGAAACCATGCAATTGTGCATGGATTCCTTGCGAGTGGTAAACCCAAAGGTGACTCCCGGTTTGCTGTGCACCCCTGGCACGCCAGGGCAGGCAGGATAGACCTGTATTGCTTGAATCTATTGCTCGGCACAGCTCCTGTCCAACTGACACTTGCTTGGGGTACATGCAAACGTTAATACGCGCAGAGAAGGCAAAGAAATCGCATTCAACCTGCATGGCTAGCATTCCCCAAAGCCCCAACACCCCCAAAGACCGCAAGGCCCTGCACAACGTACCAGTCAAAACCAGTTGCCCTTCAGAAAAAGGTGCGGCTTCCCTGTTGTGACCGTCCGTTTTCCAAAAGGAATTCTAACCTTCACACACGACCAAGCATCGTCAAACAACCTGGTTGAACATATCCACCAAAAGGTAGTGTGAGAAGCCGCACGTATCATGGATACCTCCGCTTCCCGTGGGCAAGACCGGAATTTCTGAGTGAACCGTGATAGTTCACCAAGCTGAAATAAGGAATCCCCACGACAGGAACTTTCATCATGCGAGGTCGCAGACCAGACTCAAACCGCATCAATGTGTCTTGACTTCGGGCACGCCCACAAATGATGGTGTTCCTTTTGCTTTCCCTTCAAAAGCACAAATAGGAGTGAAAAAACACGCCCATCGTGAACCCTCCAATGTACATACGAGTTCAAAAGAGACCCAAAGAGACCATTTTTGGGTTAGCATAAAAATTTAAGGGATCAGCCCAAGTGGCCGCCATTTCTTGGTTTTGGGGGTGGCTTTGAGGCTACCATTTCCACCAATTTGGAAAAATCAAAAGGAAAACCCAGCTTGGACACAGCATTTAGGGCTGTCTTTTTGGAGGGGGAGCCTTTTTGGGGTGTAGAGGAAATCGTTTAGGGGGTCCAACCACCCCACCCCACCCCACCCCAGCCCCGGTCATTCGACTCCGAAGGCGCCAGCGACGGGTGGATCTGTGCGGTGCGCGCCACGCTCTTCGGCATCTGTGGCGCGGCGGAACCGCCGGCGGCCTTCTGCTGGGCCTAGCATCGGAGAAAAACAGCGGGGGACAACATATACTTGGTGCATTATGACTTTCCTTCAAACAAAACAAACAAACAAAACAAACAAACAAACAAACAAACAAACAAACAAACAAATAAACAAACAAATAAACAGACAGACAGACAGACAGACAGACAGACAGACAGACAGACAGACAGACAGACAGACAGACAGACAGACAGACAGACAGACAGACAGACAGACAGACAGACAGACAGAGACAGACAGACAGACAGACAGACAGACAGACAGACAGACAGACAGACAGACAGACAGACAGACAGACAGACAGACAGACAGACAGACAAACAAACAAACAAACAAACAAACAAACAAAGAAACAACAAGGTCCCAACTGCGCCGCAATTGTAGAATACTTCCCATGCGGCTGAGTCGATGCAGCTGAGTTGATACAGCCTAAGCCAATTTCACCGATCGCCACAAATTACCATAAATGTAGACTGGTTCATGCTTCATGGATTGATGCATTCTGTTGCCCAGTGCCCTCTGGACCCTCCCTCCGAAATCAAAAGTAAACTCCTCCATCACCCGCACCCGGTAGATCCGGCTCCGCGCTTGTCGCAGTGCCAGCTGGTCCACATCCTTTGGCCCAACAAAAAAGTCCCCCAATAGGTTCCTAAAACAAACGTTTCTAAAGAGTACCACAGACCCCTGCAGAAAGACTACTTTCCTCTTGGGCAGAGGCTTTGTCCACTTCTATGTTAGTTTCTGGGAGGGCGCTTCGAATCGATCGCCCGACCCATCCGAGGCGCAAAGTACTCCGCAATGGCCGCTGACATGGCCGCGTTCCTGGGAGTTCTTCCGCTCAACGCCGCTCTTGGCCCAGTTTTTTGAGGCTTCAGAGACCCCCCGATCAGCGAAGAGGCCCCCGGTTTAAAAACAGAAGCAACTTCAGCGTTTCCCCAGTTGGTGGTTTGGGTTGTTGGTTTGGAGTCCTTCCCTCAGTGGAAAAGGGAAGGCTTCAAATCCAACCGCCAATCGAAACCAATCAATCAGCTCCCCTCTAATTGGCGGCGTGGATTGGTGATTTGGAGGTTATGGGGGAGGCTTTCCCATTTATCTGCGACAAGCAGTTCAGATCCTCAAACCACCGATCCATAACACCGCCTAAGGCTGACCCAAATTTAGGCTCACCTCAACCAAGGCTTCCGTAAATTAAGGTCTACCTGAGAACAGGACCTCACCACAAAAAAGGCAATAAGCCCAGACGATTCCCCCAACTGCCCCGCAATCCCCTGGAATCCTCCTTTTGAACCCTCCCCGAAAGCTGTCCCACCCCAGACCTAGAGACCCCATAAGAATTCCCTGGAATGATAATGATGCTCTTGTACATACCAACAAACAGTGGTGCGAAGGGATTTCGTCCATCCAGTAGCTTCCAGCTGCTTCCTGCTCCCGCCGAGCCACGGCTTCTCCGCCTGCTCAGCGTCCCGCTTTTCCTTCCGCCGCCGCTTCTCCTCCTGCACCTCCTGGAGGAGGTACCTCTCCTCGGACAGCTGCGCCGCGTTTCGCTGGCGCCCAGGATTTCGCTTGGAAGCGGACGAGTCTATGGCGTCAAACCCCAAAAAAACATGTAGCTCTATGGTTCAACCCCTTTGGTTCAAGAACGACAGGGAAGAAGAGCCAGCAGGCGCAGCTGGGCTAAGTTGGGAAACTCGGAATTCTTCGTGAAGGACTAAACGGCTCGGGGTTGGCTAGAGCTTGGCAGTGTGACCAGCATAAAAAAAGTCACTCAACTGGCAGCAAATCCACAAGCATTGCTAGCCTCATCAGCATCATCAGGGTCATCGCTCCCATCATCTGCATCGACGAAGCCTAATCAGCATCATTGGCCCCAGCATGCCAGGATCAACAGCAGCATTCCTGGCATCATCAGCATCCCCAGCATCACTGGGCACAGCCAGCAACAGCCCAGTTTGGGCGTTAAGTTTGCAGCTGTCTGTGATCCAACCTCTGCCAACCAGCACGTACGCACCCAAACAGGTTGATTGAGTTACTCACCCAGGAGGAGTAGTCAGCCTCAATTCATTCTGTGCCTGCATGCAGCTTGCTCATCTCGAAATTCGCCTCCGGCTCATGTTTGGAAGAAAGAGCCTCTGTAGCTTTCCGCCATCAGGAGAAACATATTGCCAGATTGGCGCAAAGCATTTCAAGGATGGGGCGCCTGCAAACTAAATTATTCCCAAGCCGAAGCCTTTCTTGGAAAAGCAACAAAAAATGTAAGAACGAACACAGGGCACGAGGGGGGGGGGGGCCTGGTTGGATGGCCAAAGTTTCCCAGTGACTTCAGCTCCGAGGCCGGAACCCTGTCCCGGAGCTGCTTGAAATTCTGCATCTCCTCAAGCCCCAGCATCCGTCGCTCCGCGCCGAAAAATAGGGTGGGGCCACCCATTGGTTTAAACATGTTTAAACCACTGGTTATGATGATTCTTCCCTTGTAAAGGTGGTGTTTAAACCATATTTTGCCCCACCCAGCCAAAAACGAGCGCGGGTGCCCCTTTTTTGGGGCACCTGGCGTGCGTGACGCAAGGGGTGGCACTGGGAACAGAGCACAGGCACCGTCCAGCGTATACCTCCGACCCAGCCTTCACTCGCATCGGGGGGAAAGAGAGCCGGAAGCATGCCAGGAGTTCGGCCGATGGCAGCCAAGTCACAGACAAATGCACCACGTCTACCTGCAGAGAGCCTTTTTTCACCGGTGAAACTCCAACTGTGAGCAAGAATGTTGTCAAGGACAAGTAACAGCAGCTGCAAGGCATCATTGCATGCCTTGTTTCTTTTTTTTGTGACCATGGCACATAGAGATTGTTCAAAAGTACAAGGGGAAAAATACTACTTGGCATACTCCTCACTAAAAGGAAGCAAGCCAAAAACCATCTAAACCACAATATGTGGCATTTCTGGCATTTGGCCCTATTCCCAATTAAAGACCATCAAGAAGTAGCCTTTCTGGCTTCATTTTCAGTTGTTTGGGAATGTGCGCAGCATTCCCCACATTTCCAGCCATCAGTGGAATTGTTGCGCCACATTTTGCGAAGCAAGCTGAGAGCCTCGGAAATGTTGCGCAACATTTGCCACTTTGTTCAGACACTCATTGTTTTGGGTGGCTTGAAATCAAGATTCCCAATACTTCTCTGTGCAATCTCGGATCTTTGGTAGAGCCAAAACAGAACTTTAAGTGTTTCGAGAAACTTTGTGGCTTTTTTCACAGGCCCTTCATGTTCGAACTGGTAGGTGCCCAGCTTGACACGAACTGCGCAGCTTGACCTGACTTTTGTGGGGAAGAACGATGATCTGGCACATGCTGAAGATGCCGCAGGTTGCTACATGTTTTTGCCAAGGAGCAAATCCATACTAACTGAAACACTTTCCTGTGATTGGCTTGGCTCAGTTCGTGCTTAGTCAAAATTACATGGACGGAGATAAGGGCAGTTTTGGAATTAAAGCTGATCATATTTCAAATACATGAGGAAATGCGGTGGCTTAAAGCTGAATTCCTGAAACGGCCCTTTTCTTGAGTCTTCTTCTCATGTTTGATGTTCAAGAAATGTTATTTATTGACTGTATTCTACAAGCTCAAGCTAGATAAACAACATATACATTCGATTGGAATTGCTTTCCAAATGTTATTTTAAGCGAGTTGAATCAGAATGCAAATGCGCAAGGACAGGGAGCGTTCTAATTAATTTGGATTGAAATTCCAACTATTCATGTTAATTGGAATGAACACATGTCACCAAACTTGAAGGTTTGCTGCTGTTCCCTGCAACATGATAAAAGTAAACGCACGATTGCAAAGCTGTTCCAGGCACGTTGAAGCTGCCAAAGTGCTCTTTGTGTACTACTCTTATGCTAACTGAAAACCTTGTGTCTTTCAGCTGAAAGCTGCCAATCACTTACTACAAGTGGATAAGATTCAAGATTGTGCGGAATCCTGAATGCAATTCACCTCAAAGGGGCTTTAAAGTCGACGCTTCTCAAGATTCAGATTCGAGATTCTGAAGATTTCTGGGATTCTCGAATCTCAAAAAACTGAAAAATGCAAGTTTGGTAGGCGTTCGGAAAGGGAGGTAGCATAATATGTATTTTTACATACACATATCAGGAGGGCAAAAGTTTATGACTCTTGCTGGTTTCTGCAAAGCCGTGTGGATCACCCGCGGCTCGAATGTCCAACTCCGTTTTTGTGCGGCAGGAGTGGGACGGTGACTGATCACCCTCTTTAGAACCTAAAATACTTTAAAATACTTTTGGAGTATGTTCGACCGCGGATGACCCAGCAACAACTTGCACGATTCTGCTGCAGGGTTATGATCGTCGAAGAGCGCCCAAAACGCGCAACGTTCGTCCTAACAGTGCATATATATATATATATATATATATATATATTTACACATACATACATACATACATACATACATACATACATTACATTACATTACATTACATTACAT